CGGGAGGCAGAGGCAGGCGGATCTCTGTGAGTTCGAGGCCAGCCTGGGCTACCAAGTGAGTTCCAGGAAAGGCGCAAAGCTATACAGAGAAACCCTGTCCTGGAAAACCAAAAAAATAAAAAATTTTTTTTTAAAAATGCATCATTTACAAGACCATCCCCCAATTAAATACTTAGGCATAAATCTAACAAAAGATGTATAGGGGAATATGAATAAACTACAAAACAGAGCTAAAGAAAAGTCAAAGATTGAAATAAGTGAAAGCTGTTATCTTCATGGATTGTTAAGACGCCTGCTCCTCCTGCCTTGCCCTGGAGACACAGTGTGGTCCCGGCAGCAACCCAACAACCTGTGAAGGTTCCCAGCTCCTGGAGCATCCTGAGCAGACACCTGTATAGTATGTTCCTTGGAGACTCTTTAGTTAATTAGTTTGTTTGTTTGTTTTGTTTTTGAGACAGGGTCTTACTATTTATCTCTGGCTGTCCTGGATCTCCCTATATATACCAGGCTGGCCTTGAACTCACAGAGATATGACTACCTTTGCCTCTCGAGTGCTGGGATCAAAGGCATGGGCCACTGTATTTTAAATGCCCCAGCTAGAATTTTAAAGTCATTTATTCGTTTATTTATTTGTTTATTTATTATCTTAACTCATAGAAGTCTGCCTGCCTCTGCCTCCTGAGTGCTGGGATAAAGGCTGTGGACCATTACTCCTGGCTCAGGCCCTGATTTAAACTTAAGTATATTGGACGCTAATACATGGCAGGCATCCTGAGTGGCCCTAGAATGGAATGCTGAGCAGTGAAGACATGGCTGTTTTGAAAGAAGCCAGGGCATTATGATGAAACACAAAAGATTGATTTTTATAGGATGGTGAAATTCTGCCAAGAGGGCAATCAGAAAATAAATGTTATTAGATCTCTAGCAGACAATCATCTCAAGCCACTTTCGCAATAAAAATCACAAACCTGATATTCTGGCACGATGCTGGGTACTCTCCCAACTTCCTCCCTTCATGTGTTAATTTCATGCTCGTGTGGGAATTACTAAACCTGGCTCTGATGCTTAGCAGAGATCCTGAGCATGCAGGTCCCAGTCCAGGCCTCCTGAATAATACCTGGCATGCCGCACCATGCACTCAGCACTGTCAGAAGTGACCGGTACACGTACTCAGTTACTTTCTGCCCACGGTTATAAAGTAGGCACTATGTGAGCTCTTTCTTGTAGAAACAGCAGACATGGAGAAGTTACGTGCTTTCCCCGAAGTCACACTCCTTCTAGATGAGAGACAAAGGCTTTGAAGCTAAAACTGTGTTCTCAACCCTAACCTCTGTTCTGACTGCATTCCTAATTAAGAAGCTTTTTGGCCCACGCCCAAGGCTGATAAAGGAATGGGGGTCTCCTAAGGGAATCCTTTTTCCCTCTGAATAACGACCAATGCCAGAGTGGATGTCTGTCTGTCCTGAGGCACGATGCAGGGCTGCACTGCTGTCCAAACTGCAGAGTGGCATGCAGCTACTTCCAAGGAGGTGGCTGGCGCTGCTAGATCTTATGAAAAATGAAACACACGCCTGACACTTCAACACTACTCAGAACATGAGTTGAGGATGCAAGCTCAGGGCACGCCAGTCAACCAGTGACTATCAACCATCAGCGAAGGTGGTTGATAGTCACTTCCTAAGCACAACTCTCCCTCCAGAAGAAAGTTTTCTTTCTTTCTTTGAGACAGGGTCTCTCTACACAGCCCTGGCTAGTCTTGAACTCACTGTGTAGACCAGGCTGGCCTCCAGCTCAGAGCGATCCGCCTGCCTCTGCCTCCCGAGTGCTGGGTTCAAAGGTGTGCAGCACTGTGTCCGGCTGCTATTTTAACTTGCATTAACAACTTGCCCAGTTGTATATGCACAGGGTTCAGAGGAAAGCTAGAGTACTAAAGGAGAGGCTAGTGGCTGGGGCAAAGGCCAAGGAATTTGACCTTCTCTTCTCAAGGGAAGGAAAAGTTTAAAGCAAATGGCATTTTGTTGTTGTTTTCGAGACAGGGTTTCTCTGTATGGCTCTGGTTATCCTGAGAAATCTTATTTTTATATTCTATTCAAGGACGAGGATTGTCAGGATTACCTCAAGTGAGAAGGAATGTGTGTGCTGTGCATGTGTACATGTCTGTCTGTCTCTCTGTTGGGGTGTGCATGCATGCACGGTACATGTAGAGGTCAAAGATCAATGCTGGGTGATCTCCCTCATTGCTCCTCACCTTATGTATTTGAGACTGCATTTTACTGAGCCTACAGCCTGGCTCACTGGGTAGCCCCCAAGTCTCATGAATCCTATCTCTGAGCCCCCATAGTTGGGATTACAAGGGCATGCGGCTTCACTAGGCTTCTTTCTTTTCTTTCCTTTCCTTTCCTTTCCTTTCCTTTCCTTTCCTTTCCTTTCCTTTCCTTTCCTTTCCTTTCCTTTCCTTTCCTTTTCTTTCCTTTCTCCCTTCCTCCCTCCTTCCTTCTTTCCTCCCCTCCTTTCCTCGTGAGTGCTGGGATGAAACTCAAGTCTTCCAGCAGTAAGCCCTTAGCATTTTCTAGAAAAGCCATCTCCCCAGCCCCAGGATTAAAAAAAAAAAAAAGATTTCTTTTTATTTTATATGTGTGAGTGTTTTGCCTACTTGCATGTGTGTGCTATGCTCACACCTGGTGTCTGAGGAGGTCAGAAGAGGGTCTCAGGTCCCCTGGAGTTTGTAGGCTGTCAAATGGGCTCAGAGCAAGTGCTCTTACCTGCTGCACTATCTCTCCAGCCCCGTTCTGGGAACTGCTTGTAATAGAAAAGAAGATGGGGGGCTGGAGAGGTGGCTCAGAGGTTAAGAGCACTGGCTGCTCTTCCAGAGGTCCTGAGTTCAATTCTCAGCAACCACATGATGGCTCACAACCATCTGTAATGAGATCTGGTGCCTTCTTCTCGCTTGCAGTCATACATGCTGTATACATAATAAATAAATAATAAAAATAAATAAATAAATAGGATTTTTAAAAAAAGAGCAGTAGTCTCAAATTTAAAAAAAAAAAAAAAAGAAGAAGAAGAAGATGGAAAGGATTGCAAGCGGCCACTTGGCTCATTATCTGTTGTCACGAACCGGGAACAAGCCGGGAGCTTCTAACGTTTGCTACTTCTCTGCTTCCCAGATTGTTTCCCCTTTTTGAATAGCACAAGTTGAGAAACACACAATCAAACAAAACCCTAGGTCCGTGTGCCATTTTCGGGGCACCAGGAAAGGGAAAAGAAGTGACATTTGTGTTGCGCTTTGCCAGCCAGCCTAGAGAAAGGAAGAGGCCTAAAATCTGAGGTGACATCTGCCAGGGCAGAATTCAGTCCCGCCTTGCTCTTCCTTATTCCAGGCATGGGATAATACAGGAGTTGCATACAGGAGATGAAAGGAGTCCTTCAGGGAGGGGCCCGGGAGATTTACCTGGAACCTCCACAGGCCTCCGATGTCATCGGACCTTTCAAAGCAGACGGGTTCCAAGTCTTCTTCCAGGCAGCACTTGATACAGGTGAGCCCGCTTGCTCCCGACCCAATTATGGCGACCCTTTTCTTGGTCATGGTGCTTCAACGACTGGGTCAGCCTCACTTGTCCTGGCGAAAGAATGACAAGAGAGAGTGAACGCACTTCAGGTCCCCTGGAAGACCCGGGCCATGGCACACAAATACATAGATCAAGAGGTGCGTCTGATGGCCCGGAGGTGAGTCCTCTTGGGAAGGTACCTGCTCAGGTCGATCCTCCACCAGCACTGGGCTTCACTCCCGGGAGAGCAACAGTGTCTCAGCTAAACACAGCGGGGGCCAATGGGGAGGGGCTGTGCCGTCCCACCTCCTCTCCCGCCCCCTCGAGGGCGTGCACCCTTCTTCCAGAAACGAAAACAGCTCAATGTGCTGCTTTGGGAAGACGTGAAAACAATAACATTGTATATGTTTTAATCGACAGCTTTTTCCAGCAGCACCCGCATAGGGAGAGCGGCCCTCCAGCTCCATCCCTTCCCACTTTTCTTTCGGGGTTCGCTTTCAACTTCCTGCTTTTGTTTTTAAAGTGGTAAAGGCCCGCTAAACTTCAGAAGCTAACCTTGCTCCAAATGCTAAACAAGAAGAAAGTTCACTTTCTGCTCTGTCCTGGCTCCTTCTCCTCTCCCCACTTCAGAGACCAGGTGATACTGGATTCACTACTACAGTAGGAATTTAAGGTTGCAGCGAGTTGAGCTGACGGCTGGGGCGGCGGCGGGGGGTGGGGGTGTCCTGCGCTTTGCGCTTCCTAGGTAAAGGAGCTTCCAGGTCCGTGCCAGAGGTCAAAGCATGCGCACACAATTTCAATTAAATACATTCCTTTTTCTTTTAAAGTGATCTCTCTCTCAAAATTTTCATTTTGAAATATTTACTTAAAAAGGGGGTTAAGCAACCCGCTGGAGGCGACACAGAGTAAGGAATGGAGGCCAACGGGGACAACCCAGCGGCCTGGCTCCAGCCTGGGCTCTCAGCCTCCACATAAGCTGCCCTCGCCCGAGGATGTTTTGACTTATTTAGTAACAAGCCCGTCCGCCAGTTCTTCACCCCTTTGTTGTACTTTTTTGCCCAATGCCTGCTATTACACGGTGGTAGGCTATTAGTTGAACTGCCTTAAAACAACAAAACAAAAACCTCTACTATCACATGGTTTATTTCTACTACTTTAAAGTGAATTTAAAAACTAAGTCATTGACTTGGAGAATCAGTTTGCTGCCTCAGGAAGACTCCTGCCAAGTATGTGGTCTAAAGGATATGGAAACAGAGCAAACCCATGAGGGAACTTACAGCCCTGTACCACACAACAGGAGGCCGGAGCCTCCAAGCCTGCTGGATAGAACTGCCGGGCTGTTTGTTGTTTTTTGCTCTTTTGGGGGGGCCCACCATCCAGCTCCCAAGTAAATCACTCTCACTCAGAGGCTTATTCTGATTTATGAATGCCCGGCCTTAGCTTGGTTTGTCGCTTGCCAGCTTTCCTTAACTTAACTTATCCCGTCTACCTTTTGCCTCTGGGCTTTTCCCGTTCTCTCACTTCTGTAAATCTTACTCTTACTCCGTGGCTTGCTGGGTAGCTGGATGGCTGACCCCTGATGTCCTCCTCCTTCTCTGGATACTTCTTCTCCTCCTCCCCGATTTCTCCTTCTATATAATCTCTCTGCCTGCCAGCCCTGCCTAGCCTTTCTCCTGCCTTGGTATGGGCCAGTTCTTTATTAGACCATCAGGTGTTTTAGACAGGCACAGTAACACAGCTTCACAGAGTTAAACAAATGCAACATAAACAAAAAGTAACACACCTTAAAATAATAGTCTACAACACTGCCCATGATCAGGGTGGATCTTGCCCCTCATTGAATCCTCTCTGGAAATGCTCTCATACACATAACCCAAAGTTGTGCCCACCAATTTCTTAAGTGATTCTAAAGCCATTATGAAGGTTAACCATAATGATTGTGTTCATAGTTTCTGTAGAGGTCAAACCAATAGCTTTATCACAGTGAAATTTCTTTTTGAGAAAAAATATTTATCTTTATTTTAAGAGTATGAGTATTTCGGCTGTATGTATGCATGCACAACATGTACATGCCAAGTGCCCACAGAGGCCAGAAGACTATGCCTTATCTCCTGGAGCTGGAGTTACAGACTGTCGTGAGCTGCTGTTTGGTTGCTGGGGACTTGAACCCAGGTCTTCTGCAAGAGCAGCCAGTGCTCTTAACTTCTGAGTCATCTCTCTAGCTCCCACTGTACTCTTATTTTTCCTAATTTTTTTTGCGGCATCTGCATTTTGCTCACATTCATTCAGTAACTATCCCCTCGGAGGCCACTTCTTTTAAGGTGGCAGCTGTGTAAAGAGGAATGAGTTTGCGTCTTCACTGAAGTCAGCTGCTTCACAATCACCGACTGTGATACGATCTGACTGAACATTGGGACACTTACCTGAGTGGTAAAGTTTGCAACCGTCACAGTAGTTCAGGAGTCACACACACATGGTACAAGGCCCACTGTGCTGTAGGTCCTTGGTGCCACAGAGAAGGGGGAGGGACACAGGGAGATACAACGTGGACACTGTGCTAGGCTGAAAACACGATCCTCAAAGGTATCCACATCCCAGCTCCCCGCAACCTGAATGTTACCTTATATGACAAGAAGAACCTCATAGTTGTGAGTGAGCTAAGTGCTTGAGGTGGGGAGATTATTCTGACCAACCTAAGTGGTTCCCCTCCAAGGACAAGGAGGGGAACTTTACTGCTTTTTAGAAGGAGAGTGGGAGATGTCTGGCAACAGAACCAGAAGACCACGTGAACAATGGAAGCAGGATACTATGCTTACTGGCTTTGAAGATACAGGAAAGGTGTAGGAACAAACCAAAGCAAGGCAGAAGCTGCAATAAGCCAGGAAACCCACCTGCCCTGCAGCTGCTGAGAAGGAAGGGAGTCCTCAAGACGCTGACAAAGGCATTTTAAGTTGGAGAGAATAATAAGATGATCACTGTAGTGTTCATAAAATTTAAAACAAAACCAAAGTGAACTGAATAACTATAAAAATAGGTTCAATAAAGAGGCAGAGGGGCTGGATAGAAAGCTCAGTGGTTACACTCTTCTGGCCTCCATGGATATTAAGCATGCATGTGGTACATATGCATGCATGCAGGCAAATCTTGTCTTTTAAAAAAGAGGTAGAATATAAAATCAACTGTTTTTGCATGGTCTGGAGAATGATTTACGATAGTCATACTTTTGTTTTTGGATGAGTGAGTATTGGAGAAATTATTTTGGCCACTCCACGTAGTTAAAAGGATATTTATTAAATGGCGTAACTCACAAATTAAGTAATGGGTAGGTCGCAGGGTCTGGGGAAGGTGTATCGCAATCCAGCAGTGTTCTCCGGAGCTCTGCACAGTCAATCTGCACCGGTCAGCGTTCTGGCACCGAGAGAGCGCCCAGAGCGAGCGCTGGCCCATCCAGCTCTCGGTCCCCAGGCGCCTCCCCTCGCCCCGCCTCGTAGGCGTGACAGTTGCCAGAGTCTCAATGGGGGTTGGAACTTCCAGAACCAAGCTGGATTGGCTACCCACTACAAGTGAGTATATCAAGTATGTAGCAAACCAAAGGAAACCAATAAAGAATGAGAGATAGGTAAATAGCAAGACATCATCCAAGTGGGTGCTCAAACTATCTAAGAGAAACCGACTGGGAAAGGTCCACTAAGGCAGCCAGCTGGGGTTTCCAATGGAGAGTTCAAAGTGTTCCCCATGAGACTTAGAACAAATAGCAACAACAGAGATAACATTATTAAAGTGGATGCTTGCCACATTTTCTAGAAACCATTCGAGGAACTGGAGGCAGCTAGCTGGAGTTTTGATTGAAGTTTTTTCCTAACGGATGAATATTTTATGGTTGAACCTTTTATTTTTTAAATGTATTTTCATATTACGAGATGAACAATGATAATCTTTGTTGGAAATGGCTTATCTTTCAGGTTTTTATTTTTTTTCATGGTGTGTGTGTGTGTGTGTGTGTGTGTGTGTGTGTGTGTGTGTTGTGCTGGCACTTGGGTAGGTGTGAATGTGGCGTGGGAGAGGTTGGTCAAGTTGCCTGTCCTGATTAATGCCAGAGGAACTGGAGTGGGACAGCAGGGGACCCAAGACAGCCAAGCCCTTGGGTGTCATTAACACGGACAAGGCTCACTTTTCTATTCCAGCTCCTTCGATAACAGACTTCGGAGCTTACAGTCAGGCAGAGAAGCCTGCTTCACAGCCCAGCATGGTCAAGGTTATTTAAAGCACAACAATGTTATTTGTCTTCAACAAACGTCTGAGGTGTGATAGCATCATTTACCCTAACTGCTCTCTAGAAACTGAAGAAGGCTGCAGGCATTCTGTGTTTCTTCTTACATTTTGAGGACATTCTAAATTCCTTTCCTGAGAATCATCCACATCAGATGATCCCACACCCATGTCACAAATTCATTATATGCTCACATAATCTTAATTCAAATCCCAACAGTGGAGGCCAGAGGCTGATGCTGGGAACATCCTGCTCACTCTCTACCTTATCCAACAGAGCAGCGTCTCTCAGTCAAACCAGAGTTTGCAGGTATGGCTAGTGTTGCTAGCCAGCTTGCTCTGGGGATCCCATCCCTGCCTTCTGGGAATGGAATTACAGGCACACCATCACGCCCACCTGGCATTTACATGGTTTCCAGTCTTCAGACTTTTTTTTTGGCCAAGAGTTAACCACTAAGCCATCTCCCCAGCCCCTTTTAAATTGTTTTCAAGTCATAATGTTTTAATTTGGAGCTTTTTTGTTTTGTTTTGCTTTGCTTTGTTATTGTATTAGGGGGAGCAATCTATCTTTTATGTATACTCTTGGAGGACACTTTGAGACAAATATGTTTGAGTCTGGAATGGGGGTTGGGAGCCATGTTTGTGGAGGGAGGTGGCTTTTTAGTGACTTTAAACAGCACATTATAATTTACTAATGTAATAAATATTATGTTTGCCCTTAAATTGCTCATGCATTCTTTATCTTTTTATCCCCATTACTATTCGTTCATTTACTTGGCAGCCTCATCATAAGGAACACTCTGCTCTGTCTGGGACCATATCAGGAACACCAGCTTACTGTCTTAATGGGGCATCCCCAGTCAGTTCTGCTAGAAGTCTGCTAGCCTCCAATTTGATGATGTTACTATTTTCTGTTATTTGTACTTAAGAGCCTTACCCTAAAAAAATCACTCTATTCCACCAGGACTCTATTGAAAACTCCAGCTAAACGGCTCAATGGGGATCCCCCAGTTGATTTCTGCTCGATGTTTGAGCACCCAGTCTGACGGTGTTTTACTCTCTGTACGTCTCTCAC